TGGAAGAACCTCGTAAGCATTATGCGAAGTAAAAGAAACCAGACTCAAAAGACTATGGACTGCATGGTTCCATTTATGTGGCATTCTGAAAAGGGCAAAACTGCAGGAGGAAAAAGCAGATCACTGATTGCCTAGGGTTGTCGAATAAGAAAAGGAGACTGATTACAAATGCACATCAGGGAATCTTCTGGAATGATGGAAATATCCATATATCTTGATTGTGGTAGGTGGCTACATGACTGTGTTCCTTTGTTAAAACTCAAAAGAAGTGCTCAAGTATAGTGGCACCTGCCTGTAGTCTCAGCTACTGAGGAGGCTGAAACAGAACAGCATGAGCCCTTGATTTTAAGGCCAGACCAGACAACATAGTTTCAAAAAACAAAAAGCAAGGCCACAAATATAGCTCAGTGGTAGAGGAAACCCACATGTGAGGCCTTGGGTGAATCCTCAGCACCACCAACACAGAAGGAAGGCAGGGAGGCAAGGAGGGAAGGAAGGAGAGAGGAAGAGATACAGGCAGGCAGGCTGGCAAGCAAGAAAGAGAAAAGAAAAGAAACAGAATTATATATCTTAAGAGTGAGTTTTAGGGCCAGGGATTTCCTTCCATGGCTCTGCACCTGCTTTGAGTTTGATCCCCACTGTCAGAGAGGAAAAAAAAAATGAGTTTACTATGTGTAAATTATGTCAATACATTTGACTTGAAAAGTCAAGCAGTGTATTCTCAACACAAAAATAAATCTTTGAAGTTAAGTATCAGTTTGGAGTCCGCAAAAAATAAAACCTATCCAAAACTTATGCCCTAATACTTCATTAGGGGCATCAGGGTTGCAGTCCCAGGAAAGCAAGGAGGGAAAAGGGGAAGTAGGTCAAGAAAAGAAAGGCAGAAACTAAAGGTGGTGACTGACCCAAACTGGTTATAGCTTCTGAGGGACATGCAGCTGGCTGTTGTTCACCTGAGACCTCCACCAAGAGGTCATATAAAACAGTCAACTGGGAAGAAAAAGGTGAGCAAGTTAGTCTCCTGTATTCATTCATCAAAGCTTGACAATGGGGTGAACCCCCACCTTTCGGGACTGCCTTACCCAGCCCCTACCTACATTTTCTGGGGAAGCCAAAGGCTTTGACAAGTTCATTCAAATCAAAGCTCTGCAGCAGGGATGCAGCAGCTACTGCCCAACCAACCCAGCAGAGGTCTAAGATCAGCTCTCACCCCAGGGAAGCAGGAGACAGTCAGTGGGGAAGTCAATGTTCCTCTAGGAACAGAGGCCTGGGGTGCAGATGCCATCCTCAGAAAAGTGCTACAAGCAGCCAAGAGGCCAGGCCTGGGGCAGGAAAGGCCAGGAATTTCACAAACTGGGTCTGGAAAAGGGGGCTATAATTAATGCACCAACTGAACAAAAAGAGTAATTTCATTTTTATGAATATTCCACACGGGAAAAAAAGAATATTCCATAGATACAGAGGAAACCTCAAGCAAATAGTTTCTATCCACTAAATCTGTTTGTGTGCTGATCTCACCTAATCTTTATATAATAAACAAGTTCAGATCTGTGAGATTGAGTGCTGTGTCACATCAAGATGTGTGTGGGCAGCTTCATAGAGAAAACAAATTCTGCACATCTAAAAATGTTATCCTCTGAACAGATATCACAGGGCCAATTCATGATCCACTCATCACAGCACAGATACAATCCTTCAGAAAACAATCAATTCTGGTTAGTTAAAATTCAAAATCTGAAGACTACTATCCTAATCCTGCTCTCTAAGACATCAATGTAAAGGTGTTCCAGTTCAAGAGGATAGAAAAAGCTCAATTCTGTATCGTATAATAATGATATACTAGGCATTAAAAATTACTAACTTGACGTGTGTCCTTTTACACATATTATCTTATTTAATCCTTACACCCACCCCAGGAAGCAGGATAAATTACCGCCCCATTACAGAGGAAGATCAAAGCATGAAGACGTATAATTTCCCCACAGCCAGCATCTAAATGCTGGTGATCTGACCTCAAAGCATCCCGTTCTTAATCTGTCACTCAACAGATATGTGCATGACCGCCAGAACCTGGCGATGTAGAGGTATGAACACCACAAGGCCCCTGCCTGCAGGATGCAATATGAGAAACTCTGGCATTGAACAAGTAACTGCAAATAAATGAAAGAGAAACAGGGTGCTGTGGAAGTCCAGGGGGCTCTGCAAAGTCGGTGGTCACGTTAATAAGAACTACCAAGATCAAATTTGGCAAATCACATAATCAGGAGAAAAATACAAGCTAGGGAGTACCAGTGTTTCTGATACTCTATATATTTTATGAGTTCATATTTTCCAATGGTCTGACAAATAATTTTTTCTAATACGTTAACTAATTTATTTAAAAAATATTACCTAGGCTTTACAGTTCAATGAAGTGAATTATATATTTATTCAGCCACGTTCATTTTCAAAGAACAAAATATGTGAATTCTGCTATTTCTCACAACAACAGAAGAGTCCAGGTCATTTTAATTAGAAGATAGTTCTTTCACATAGATAATTCTGTGATAAATGGAAAGACCTACAGTGAGGTTTGTGGGAAGTGAATTCTTGGTTTGACACAGCCAGGAGGTGCTAGATTCTGGTAGGACTCCAGCCAGGCCTGGATGTTAGCTCTGACACTTACTACATAGCATGGAGCAGCTTGTATAAGTCTGATTCTTTCATCTGTAAAATGCCACAAAAATCCTTTATAACTCAGTTTTCTGAAGGTTAAATGAGATAATGCATGGAAAGTGCTTAGCATATTGCTGTTTTGTTTTGGGTTTTGGGGGAGTTGGTTTGTTTGTTTGTTTTTGTACCAGGGATCGAACTCGGGTCCTTGTGCTTGGTGAGGCAGGTGGCAGAACCACTGAGCTAAATCTCCAGCCCAGCATATTGTTATTCCTGTAAACTGTTTGCATGTTGAAAGAAACAGAAAGAGAAGATAGCAAATGGATGGTGTGCAAAAGAGATGCTTGAAACGGAAAAGGAGCTTGGCTCCAAAAGCCACTTGATAACACTGAAGTCAGCAAAGTGGGAAATGCAATAAAATTCCATATGCAGAGCCCCCACCAGACCACAGTGGGCAAACAGAAGCTGACGGGAGGTTAGTAATTATACAATTAATTCGGGTTTTATAGGAGAGGGAACTTCAATGGGAAACTAAAACAATTATCCCACTCTGGCTTTTTTTCATGTCCATTATAGTTTCTACCTGGATGTCCCCGCAGAGCTTCATGCGCTCATAGGTGGGGCTTTGGAGGTGACTGAATCCTGGGGGCATGACATTCATCAGCTTACAGATAGATGTGACGTTAGGAGGTGAAGCCTGGTCTGAGGAGGAAGGTCCCTGGGAGTGTGGCCTGGAAGGGTCTATTTCCCTCCCTCCTGTTTCACTCTCCCCTTGTCTCTCCCTCTCCCCCTCACTGCTTCCCCCTTGCATACCATGAGCAATTCTCCTCTGCCATGCCCCTCTGCCTTGGTGCCAACCAACTACAGACTGAAACCTCTACAAACTGTGAGACAAAATAAACCTTTCCTCCTGTAAGTTGTTGGTGTTGGGTATTGTGTCTCAGCAGTGAGAAAGTAACTAAGACAATGCCTGAGCAGCACCAAGAACACGTCAACGAAGAGAGGAGAGTCAAACTAACACAGGTCACTACTTCTGGACTGCACAACTGTTCTTTCCCTCTACCAACAGCTCTAGCCTCAGGTAAAGCAAACCTCACCTTAGAAGTCACATTATGATAAAAGCCACAAGGCATTATGGGTTCCGGAAACTAAGAGGTGGCTTGCAGGTGTAGTATAAAATCCACAAATCTTTCCTTAAACGTATGAACAAAAAAGTGGAAATGTACAGTTCTTCAGGGCTTAGCAGAGATGAGGTCCCAAAGCCCAGCGCAGGCAGCACCAGTCTATCCCAGTCCACCCCGCGTCCTCACGGTGGCTCTTAAAGCACACTCCAAAAGCCACCGAAAATATCCTCCCTCTTAATTCTAGAGCTGGAGAAACTGAAAGTCAGAAGAGTGACGTGACATCCACAGGACTACAAGGCAAAAGGGGCAACACTGGAACTACAAATGGGCCAGTTTTCTAACAGCCAGTCATGTTGTTTGCAGTAATGCACACTATCTTCCTGACTTACGCAAACAAAAAAAGATTTAAAAAGGAAATAAACTGTGATTCAAAAGGTTGTGCCTAATCACAAGGGGAAAAAAGAAAGCATAAAAATGGAAGGCTGGTAGGCACTAAAGTCTGGCACAGACAGCTTGAGCTCTACTAATCTGCATTTGAACAAAACACTGCCTCCATCTATGGCTGACTACAGCTACCAAAACGGTTTATTGAACATTAACAGCAATTAAGCCAAAAATAATAATAGAGAATTCACAATGAATGCCTAAAGACCCACATTTACAGCGATACTGCATATGCATGCACACAATTACACTTGGGAGGAAGTTTAAGCCACATTAATGAGACTGTGGAGGAAGGAGAAAAGGACTGAATAGCCAACAAAATTAACTACAGTGACTAATGGATGAATTATAGTCTCATGATGCCGGGCATGATTTAGTGCTCTGCTCACAGAACCCCAGTTTAGATCATCTGGTTGTACTTCAAAGCATCTATATTTGAAAATCAAAGGTCAAATCAAGCCATTTCTTCTTAGGTCTGAATGTTGTAGAGTTCAAGGTTCATATCAACACATGTAAATTATTTTCTAAAGTACCGCAATTTTCCTCTACATGAGATACTAGTGATATAGAGACCTCAAAACTGAGCTTCCCACCAGGCTTGAGTCAAGCACCACACAGCCCAGAAGAGTGGCAGAAACCCTGTAACCTTGAACCTGAGACCTGCTATGTAGTGCTGCATTTTCAATTTATAAAAGGAGGATTTATAGTACTTCCAAGAATAAATGAGCCAGTAGTTTGGCATAGTTTATTTCCTGGCTCGACCTGTACTACTAATCTCACCTCCTCCAGTTTAAACACCTTTCCGACATACGGCTGGATGCGCCCCTGGTGGTAGTACTGAAGTGCTGAGTGCAGGCTCTTGGAGAAGACAGGAAAGTTCTGGAGTTGGTATCGGCCCCAGTACAGGCCCAGGGCAGAGATGTTCTTCAGGAGCAGCAGGTTGGCAGGCACAGAAGCAATGTTTCCTCCAGCAAATCCTAACACCACAATCCTGCCCTCCCATGCCAGGCTGAGGGGCAAGAAAAAAAAAATCAAAGAAATTATGAGACATGGTGGACATTCAAACCGATTAAGATGCCCACTGTTTTAAAAATGCAGAAAATAACAAATTTAGACAAGGATGTAAGAAACTGAAGCCCTCCTACACTGTTGGTGCAACTACTATGGAAAACAGCACAGAGGTTCCTCCAAATTTTAATATTTGCACTCCTACTATATTCAGAGCAGCATTAATGAAAATATCCAAGAGGAAGAAACCAAGCCAGGTGAACCTCAATGAATGAACAGATAAAGAAATGTGGTCTATACATATAGTGGAATACTCTCCAGCCTTAACAAGAAAGGAAATCATGTCAGACACTAAAAGATGAACATCCTTTAGGACATAATGCTAAGTGAAACAAGCAAGACACAAAAACAAAAATACTATATGATTTCATTCATATGCAACATTTAAAGTAGTCAGTTCATAGAGAAAGTAGAGTAGTGCCTATCAGGTGCTAGAGGAGCTGGAAGGGGAAGGAGTTATTTTTCTAATGGGTATAGGTTTTCAGATTTTCCAAATCAAAGGTTTTGAAGATTTATCACATAACAATGTGAATTTACTTAACATACTCAACTACATGCATAAAAGAGGTTACAGTGGTAAATTTAATTTTATAGACTTTTAACCACAATAAAGAGAGAAAAAAATTTAAAGCCTCTTTAGATTAATTCACAAAGGCAGAAAGTAGAAGAGAGATCACCAGGGGCTGGGAGAAGTGAAAAGAAGCAGTGACTGTTGAATGGGTAAAGAGTTGTTCTTGGGGATGGTTACATAGCATTGTGGACATATTTAATGGCACTCAATTGTACATCCACCAATAGTTAATATATTATAGGTTATATGTATTTTCTATAATTAATTTTAAAAAGCAACATGTACTAAAACCAGAGTTGGGAACGCCTATGGACTTTAAAACTGGGAGAAGTGGGCCATTCTTTACTACACTGAGTTCCTCGGGAAAATTTTTAAAAATAAGCCATGAGCAAAAAATTAGGATGACAGAGGTACCAGCCAGCTTCATAAAAGTACCCACTTTAGAATCAAGGACATTGTGAAAGGAAATTGGATATAAACAAGTATCACAGCATGCTTTTTACAGCTAGACAATTGAGTTTGAAGATTTTGAACTTAGGCAGCAGAAAAAAGACAGACAGTGGGATGAAGGATCACTGCTTTCCATAGACTTGCTTTAGGACTCTTTTAAATTCCAATACTTCTTTAAGGAATTATGAATAATACACAAATTTACAAGTGTCCTATAGCCCATTATGAAAAGTACCACACAGTGTACACTACGTAATGAATTAGAGACAACTTTATTTTGGTAACAAAGAATCAAACTCAGGACTTCATGCTTGCCAGGCAGGCGCTGTGCCATGAGCTAAATCCCTGGCCCGAGACACAACTTTTATAAACATCTTTGATATATACACAAAATTTTTTGATTTTTTTTTTCCTTTTCTTCTTCTGGAAGGAAATGAGAAGCTACTGTCAAAACACAATTGATCCAGAAGGCAAAAAGGAAAACAAGAGAAGAGTAAGCTCATTTGGGTTGTGCACTCCTTCCTTGGCTCCTCTAAGCATGGTGCCAGGGTCTGGGCAGGGATGACCAAACACATCAACTGCCTGCCTCCCAGCTCAGGGCCTGCAGAACCAAGTGCATTCCTTTAGATGGTAGGCTGCCCTCTCTGCTTCTGTTTCTTCTGCCTTAAACCACAAAATGATGCTTACCAGGATGACATGAGAAATGAAACCAATGGCCTTGGAGTTTTCCAGAATCCCTGGTTGAAAACACAAGAAGAATTGGTATGGTAGAACAATCCCACTAACTCTCCAGTGATACATTTTTCTAATAAAACAAGTCAAGGAAATACACTGCTGGCTGCTTCTAAAACCAGGAAAATCAGAAGAGCGTGTACCTTGGTACAGTAAACTTGGGAAAGAGAAACTGCCACCCCAGTAACTCTAACACCTGAACAAGGATCTCAAGTATCCCCCACACCCTATATATATAAAGTAGTTAGTGGAGGCAGACATAGCTGAATTTAACACATGTATAATTTCTAAAGCACTTGCCATTGCCAAGTAGAGTCTGTAGTCATTTTTTGGATATTTTCCAGTTGGATATTTCATTTTTGCTATATTTAAATATTTCCTGATTTTCTCTGCTTCTATTCCTTGTCACACACCCACTCAGCTGTTCTCATTGGTACTGATGCTGACAGAAGAAGTGAACAGCAGAGATGAGAGAGAAGCAAGACCCATAGGAAGACAGAGGTACAGGAAGGTTAGGCAGAGCCCCATCCCTAGCCCACCATGGACAAACCACCGCACACACCTGCGGAGAGCCTCCAGGAAGAGGTCTCCTCCCACCATGTCAATGGCCACATTCACTCCACCACTGCCCACCAGCTGCTGCACTGCCTCCTTCAGGCTGCCCTGATTGTAGTTCACGCTTAACTGTGCGCCCCTCTGCATTGCCAGCTTGCACTTCTTATCACTTCCAGCTGCAGCTATTACCTGAACAAAGATCACAGGGTTTCTTAAGGTCAGGACAGATTCCAAGAGGGGTCCCCCCCGCATCCAGCCTCCAGCCAAAGTGCTACTTGATTAATTCAACATGAGCTTGTGGCCCAAGCATCAGCCTCAACCCCACGCATCAGACCCAACTCACCGGCCATCGCACTGGCCCCTCTACACCCAACTGGCTATAAGATTCATATCGCTAGGAATCCTCGAACTCCACATGGTCGAGCTAGGAGATAGCTCAAGGCACAGTGCAAAAGCACAACTTATTGAGCACCCAGTATGAGTCAAGTAGTAAGGATACAAGCTGGACATCCAGCTTGGAGTCAAGAAAACAAGATACAGGCAGGCAATAGGGGAAAGACAGAGGGCTGCACAAGTACAAACAAGATCCATACCCAATCTGGATCTGTTAGATCAGGAAAGGCTTCCCAGAGGGTAAAACATAATTCAGTGGAAAGATCTTGAAGTTAACTAGAACTTGTTTCCAATCCTGGCTCTGCCACTTATTAGCTGAGTTACCTTAGACAAATTACTTAATAAGAAGCAACATAATATTTTACTATTTGCCAGGCACTATTCTAAATGTTTTATATATGTTAACAACTCATTAAATCATAATGGCCCAATAAAATACACATTATCAGTATCCCCAGCAAAAGATAAAGAAATGGAGGCAAAAGAAGTTAAGCAACTTGTTCAAGGAAGGTCACACAGCTAACATGAGGCAGAGCTGAGATCCAAGCTCAGGCCATCCAACTCGAGTCTATGCCTAAATTCTAGTGCCTGTCAGCTTCTGCAGTCTCACTATCATCAGTAAAATAAGACTTATTTTAAAAACTAAATGGAACACTGTGCATAAAACACTTGGAAAACAAAGTGCTAGATAAATTGCATCTATTGTTACACACGTGCAATCATTTATTCTATTTTAACCTCAGAAGAACATTATGGTAGAGGTATAATTACTCCCGTACTATAGGCAGAGACAAGACTCGGGGAGGTTAAGCAATCAAGCTACAGTCAGTAGTAGGTGGCAGAACAACTATTTACACCAGTGCTGCCTTATTCCAAAGCCCATGCTTTTCTAGTCCATCATCCTAAAGTCGATGCCCAAGGCCCAACATAGGTGGCTGCAGGCCACCTACAGGGAGGTCTGGGATTTAGAAGTCTCCGCAAAAGCTGCAAGGACTCAAGCATCACCTAGAGATGCTTCACTGGTGATTAACACCCACCACCCCAAGCACTGGCCCCAAGGTAATACTCAGAACCTGCACTCAAACACACCCAGAACATCAGGGTCCTTAAAGGATTCCAAACTCACCCATAACTACTTGAAATTAAAAGCTACTCTCAAATACTTCCTGATGAACCTCTCAATATAGCACAGTTCACCAACGGCTATTTGCACACAGGGACCAGTGAGCAGACAGTAGACTGGGGTCAAACGCCTGATTTCTACCCCGAGAGTCTCACCAAGTCCTGGTGAGGCCGGCAATGAATTATTTTCTCTCTTGGTGCCTCACTTTCTGGATCTGTGAAACAGGGATCATAAACATATTATGTCTCTCCTGAGGGGTTTTGAGAGGATCAAGGTAAGATAATTGCTGTGGAGGCACTTTGGACACCATACAGAATGCTGTAGACAGAAGGTGTTATCAAAATGACCTATTCCAAATAGGTGACATGGTAACATTATTTTTCCTTTATGTTTGGTTACTTTTGTTTAAAATCCTTCTTGCTGCAAAAGCAAATAGTTTGATTTAGTATCTGAATTGAAGCGAATTGTTTTATTTAATTTCTCAGAACTATTTGACACAAATGGTACAATTTTATCTCTCTAGAAATGTTAGCGTCAATGGCTCTAAACAATGAGGCTAATTATGGTCTCCTCCCCCAAGAGAAGCTCAAAGTTCTTCCTTTTAATATGAAATGTATTTATATTCCATAAGGAGTTCCCTGATATCTATGATTGTGCTTAGAATTCTCATGCCCTTCCCAAAATAAGAAAAAGGAGCCTAACGTGAGAAAGGAGGAAAAATACTTAAAGAAATTCCAATCCAACCATCTCTGAACCTGTGCATTTAGATATCATTTCAATATCCCAATCTTACGTTCCATAGGAAGCTCGTATTCTGTGTCCAAAACTGAACTTGCCTTTCCCTACTGTGTTCTCAATCTCAATAAATGGCAGTTCCACAGGTTAACCTATCTGCTCCTTCCCACTCTATGTCTAATAATAATGGGATTGATTTTTAAGAGATTCTCACTGACATGCTACACCCTCTAATGCGAACGTCACATGGGTAAACAGCATTCCCACGACAACTCCATGAAGGAATCACTACTTTACAAATAAGGAAACTGATGCTATTAAGCTGGCAATATGAACCAACATCAGGCTAACTTGAAAATTTTATTCCTTTAAGTAGTAAGATGCCCTCCATCACCAAACTTCTATTTTTTTTCTACCTCATGACTTCTCTATTCTTGAACCCCAGTGCCTTCATTTGGGTATCGTAACTTCTGGCCTGGACTACTCCAAGAGCCTGTCCTAATGCCTCTATTACTTCTCACTTTGTCCCTAATTGCCACGGCCATCGTAGTGAACTTTTCAAAATGCAAGGGTGATCAGTTTGCCTCCCTACTTAAATTTCTCAATAGCCCCCAACAGCTTTCAATAAACATTCAAACTTTTCATCTCCACACCAGTCCCCTTGTCATCTTATCTCTGCTCACCTCCCTAGAGTCACCCTACACCATTCTCCCCACAAGTCTTACATTCCAGGGATGCTACTTGCAATCTCCTAAATCTACAGTGTCAGTTCCTATTTCTTGGTCTTCTAACATGCCCTCCCACCACTAAAACGACCTTTACCTCCCTCCCTTTTTCCTTATGCAATTGCTACTGGTCCTTCAGAAGTCACCTGATATGTCTCTCTTCTCCAGGAAGTTCTTTTTCTCTAACAGTCACAGCCTCAGGAAATGACCCTGTAGAGACTTGATTCGTTCTTTCATTTATTTATTCATTCGTTCATTCTTTCATAGGCTTCCAATCCTCTAAGCATCATGCAAAGTATTGGAACTACAGTGATTAGCTAACAGACACTACCCCTACTTTCATGGGGATCCAGTCCTGTAGGAGGGAGACATCAGTTAATAACAGAAGTAAAGGAGCAACCACACAGTGAGGTGTACAGAGAGAAAGAGAAGCAGAGGGGGTTATGAGATCGTATATAGTGAGGAAAGGAGACTGACCTAGCCTGAGGACAGCACGGTGACATATGAGTTTAAATCTGAATCACAGGGGGAGATAGCTCCTAGCATTAGAGGGAGAGGAAACGGCATCTGCTGCAGCCACAGAGTGAGGCAGCCCTTGCCAGGTTCTAGCAACTGAAAGGACAAGTGATGCACAGTTAGGTCTCCTCACTTGTCTGGAAGCAAAAAGATGGCAAGACCTTGCTTGAGCTTATTTTTTACCCGCAGTGCCCTGCTTTTTAATAAATGAGTAAATATCTACCATATCTGAAAATTAGGCATTTTTAATGGAGAGTCTAACATACAAATACCTTGGCCCGAAGAACATTTGTTGCCACATCTATAACTGCAAGGCCTGTGGCTCCAGCTGCTGCTGTCACTAAGACAGTTTCTCTGTGCCAGAAAAAGATGAATATTACTACAGAATCCTTCAAAACTCACCCTGTGATATGATTTCAGGAACTCTATAGAGCCAGAACATTTTAAAGCAACAATGTTAGAGATCTTTGCATTCAAACCTACATGTACATCTGTCTTCTACATGTACATCTGTCTTCTGGCCTGGAGGGATGATGGGTCTACATACGTGACTTGTAGATTGGTGCTAATTTGGTCCAACTTGGAAGACTTCCTAAGAAAAAGATTCCTTTATCTCTCTAGGCAGACTCTCCTTTCCCTCAGTGGCAACCTCTTCTTTGAGAAACCATCCCAATTTATGCTTCAGAAACTGTGTCTAAAATCATTTCATAGTAAACACTGTCCAACTTTAGGTGGTGGTGGTCATGCAATGGCCACAGCTAAACTAAACCCACTAGTTGGGAACAATTCTGAGAGTTGGCTCTCTGAAAAGATCAAGAGGCTGTTTGCCAGATAAAGTAAGAAACTTTAGCACCTTTGAATTCAAAACATCCTACTTGGCACACAGTTTAAGTCTGACAGAGACAAATATCACAGATCTCCATTAAATCCATATATAAACCAACTGTGTAATTTTAAGGTTTCCACGAAATGATCTCTAGGGTAGCCAGGTTTGAGAGAGCTATTTTTCCAAATTTATTTTGGCCAAGTTCATAGTCTACCATACTTTCTTAGACAAAAGGGTGCCCCCACAGTCACCAGACCCTAGTCGCAAGAGGTTACCGTTCTCTGTCCTTCCCTCAAGCAAAATAAATAAAAGCTGAAGGGAAAGAGGAGGAAGGGAAGAGGATGGTGTAGGGAAAGATCTGGTTGGGCACTTCTAATATCAGGAAAGGGGATCGCCTCACTCTCTGTTGTCCACATGTCCTTACCCAGGCTGGGTATGGGCCCGATGCTCCAGAGCCAAAATAGCAGTGCCGTAAGTTACAGGTAAGGTAGCAGCTTCTCGCAGGGGGAGCTTCTCTGGAATCTGCCACAGGGTCTATAGAAAGAGGCAACAGTAGCTTAGGGGTTAAACCTATCTACCTGGTCACAACAGGTGATCAGTAAATATGACCTGATCAGGTGACTGATCTGTAGTGTAAAACATATGCCTGTAACTGAGCCCAGTGAAAGTCAAGACCAAACAAGCCATGGCAGAGTTTAGGACTTGGATGCATCAGACTTCAAAACCCTAAGGCTGGCATCTGGCCTAAAAAGGAGCCAATTTATAAAGAACAGGCCACAGATCACTGTAACAGCAGAATTACACGGTATATAAATTTTACCTCAATAAAACTGGGGGGGTGCTGTCCACCACTAGGGGGAACCATTCACGTCCTGGTCGTGTACACAGCCACACTGGCTGGCTCCACTCCCAGGGCTATTTCTTTCATAGGCTTTGTGTGGAAGACAAGCCCATTACATCCAGCTCAATACCCCAAACCAGTTTTTCTACCAAAACTACCTCACTATGGTCCAACTAGACAACCAGTCAATTGCTCACACACTCCAAACACAAAATGCCTTCTTCATTAAAGCATTCTGCACAAACAGAGCTCTGTCAAGGGTTTTCACACAATGAAGAGGAGGGAGCTTAGGATTTTAAAAAAGGATCAGTTTGACTGAGAAACAAGATACGACCAAACAAATGCAAAGAGAAAGGGGGAGAAGGGAGAATAAGAAATGAAGAAAAAGTGAAAATTAAAGAAAACAAAGGAGAAAAAATATCTTCAAGCAGTAATATTGAGAGATGGGATACCTTCTGGTCAGTGATGCATTCTTCAGCCATAGCATTAAAGTGACTCACACCAATGACTCGATCTCCCTAAAGGGAAAAACAGCATTAAAGACGCTCAGTACATGGCCTTGCAAATTACCTCTTCCCAAATTAATCAAAGAATGAAGGAAAATACACAACTCTGGTCCTGTAAGACTATGGCTTTAATATCTAGAGTTAATGTTTAGTAAATAAAATAGCAATTTCCCAATACTGCCACCAGGTTGCCAAGCCCATCTGAGCACATTTTAGACAATGATGAGGATGAGTAAGAAAAAGGTGGCTATGAATCAGAATAACTTCTTTCACATGAGACTCAAACGTAAGACTCCTCTAACCAGTCAGTAACTAAAGAATGAAATGTTACCTTTTAATTATAATAAAGAGTTTAATGAAGGCAGAAACATCCACCAAGATTCCCCTCCCCTGAATTCAGATTTAGTTCCTTTCCCTTCCATCTCAATTTCCCTTTGGTGTCTGCTGGCAAAGGACAAGAGAAGCAAGACCTTCTGGGTACAATTGAAGTTAGCTCATTTCTCACAGCTACAAACATGTTCGTTCCCTAGATTTCAACTGATTTACCTCTTTCACTGTGCTGACATCGGTGCCTATCTCCAATACGGTCCCAGAAAACTCCATCCCTAAAATATTATTCAAAGATTAAGTTACCTGTAAATCCCAGAACTACGGAGATGAGAAAACCCTGATCCTGATCAATAGGCCATCCGATCAGCGTTTTAAGAGTACGATTTAAATACCATCTTTTTCACCTGGACAGAGGAGTAGAGCACTGTACTCAAAGAATAGGAAAGTGAGCGTAAGATTTCATGATCACAATCCGAAAGGGTATGGCAGTCCTATTCTTAACCTTGACACAATGATCATTCTGAGAATGTGCAAAAGCATGGAGAATCATGGGTGCACTGGAACTTCTGACTCTGATCACTGGGGTGTTGGCCCTTTACAGCATCCCAACTATGAGGTTTATTATGTGGTATCTACGAGTCTGCACACACCCTTCTGTTAGACCATTAGGTCCTAAAGGACATGAATGGTGTTTATTCAAACAGTACTTGGCTCAACTGGATGAATTATTGTTGTATGCTTTTTCTTCTTCTACCTCTGAAACTTCTGACTTCAACAATCATACATTTCCTTCTTGAGCTGCCTGGGGAATAACTCAATCATATATGACATCTTCCCCTGATCAAGCATTTTAGCAAATACAAACAAAAGGAAATGGTTCCAACTGTAACTTAAATACCCAATACCAGAACACAGCAACTATTTTGCAATCACTGTATCCTCAATAATTCTTATCTGTATAAAATATGCATTGCTATATAAGCATGCTAACCAATACTTATGTCTCTTTAATTTCAGCAACAAAAATCAGTCATTCATATACATTTTCATAATGTGAAAATAATCGGACCAGCATAATGAAAATCAGATATTGGAGATTATAAATTCTCTTTCCTCTTTTTGATCCTTTGGCATTAGGTTTCTTTGAGCTTGTGCTTATGAGACTAAGACATCTTAGCTGCAAACCGACATCTGAGATCCTTCAGTTAAAAAAAAAAAGGCAGTTTAAGAAAAAGGGAATGACTAGGGTCAATACTGAATCTGATTAACAGAGTTCTGGGGAGCATGATGATGTGAATACTTATTTGTTCATTTATTTATTTTTAAAGTGTTTATTGAGCATCTACTATGAGTTGGTTACAATGCCAAGCTGGAAGAGACAATGTTGAGCAAGAGAGGCATAGAGACTGCCCTCAGGAGGCTCACAAGTACTGATTCTAATGATGGCACTGACATATCTAGCAGAGACCTCACTGACACAAGACAAACACCGCAGAGTTATATCTGGGAAGAAGCACCTATTTCTGACAAGTCTCTGAATCTTCTTTCCCTGAAGCATCACTCAGTCTACTCATACTCACCAGGTGTGAAGGGAAGGTGGGGCTTTTCCTGATACTGACCATGACAGACCAATATATCAGCAAAGTTAACTCCACAGAAATGGACATCAACTCTGACCTGCAAAGGAAATAGAGCAGCAAAACAGAGCAGTACATATCCTGGAAACAAAGTTCATTATTCAATTATTCAAAAATATTTCCTGAATAAATGACAACTATATGCCACGTTCTGAACAAAGACCCGGAATGAATTATGAGGCAATGGACTATGTGTTTGTATTCATGGAGTTAAAAGTATAGTAAAAAAGACAGACATTAACCAAATAATAATGAACCCATTTGTGTTAAATTATAACTCAACACAAACTGTTAAAGATAAAAGTGTATGGTGCCAAGAAAGCATATAATGGGAGGATCTGACTTGTTGAGGAAGAAAAAAATAAGAGGTAATACTAAAGTTAATAACAGTTAAGAGTTAACTATTCAAAACAGGAGGGAAGGACTAGCTCAATAGTACAGCACTTGCCTAGCATGCATGAGAACTTGAGTTTGAACCCCAGTGCCAAAGAAAAAAATGGGAAAAGCTCTACACAGACAAAAGCAGTGGCATGTGCAAATGCCACGTATCAGGGACAAAAGAAAAACCAGTGTGCTTAGCCCATAAAGAGGAGAGAGAAAAAGAGGAAAGAGAGAAGTCGCCACACCACACCAGGGTTTACAGATCTATACTGACCTTCAAACTAGGACAAAAGAAAACCACTAAAGGGTTCTAAAGAGAAGGGTACCGTGATGAGCTGTTTGGGGATCTGGAAATCTGGAGTCGTTTGGACCTCCAGCTTCTGTGTCTCTGGCAATGCCACAACTGAGGCAGAACTGTAACAGCACAGCCAGCCGTGTCTCTAGACACTGCGAGCCATCCCAGACCACCCAGCACCAGAATCACCTGGGAAGATGTCAGAAATTCCAATTCCCTGGCCCCACCCCTGCTAAACTGAATCAGAAACTACGGAGGCAAAGCTCAGAAATCTGTTTTAGTAAGTCCAGGTGACTCTGCTCCATGCTACAGAACTACTCTGTAGAGGACAGATTCCAACAGGGGCTGGAGTCACAGGAGGAAGTGAAGGCTGAGATACTAAATCAATGAATATTTGTTTAAATTTATACAGAGGTGGCCATATTTGTAAGACGACATCTCTATCTGCAAAATTCATTCATTGAGTAATTTTTTTTTTTAAGCACCTACCACATGACGGGCACTATTCCAGACTAGGAAGACTTAATGGTGAACAAAAATAACATAATTGCAGCTCTGGTGAGCTAATTCCTTACAACACAATGTCTGGACAAATAGCAGAACAAAAGAGCCCAGACTTCATTCAGCCTGTGAACACTGGAATCATGACACACGAGCTGCTGACAAACGCATGGCACACACGCATCAAGTCAACCACCTTGTTTCAAGAATGACTCAAGGGTGAGCTCTCTCAGTGTGTGGACGCCAGGAAGCATAAAATCTGCCTTCGTTGTTCCTTCAACTAATCCGTTTTGGCCACGTGCTCACGTTAGCGACCTTAGGGTCCTCACTGCCTGTGGCAGGACCTCATTCTCCGCACCAGATGACACACACTCGTCACCAGGGTGGTCAACAGGCAAGGACAAGTGCCTTCCGCGTTTCAGTGGAGCCGCCCCAAACCCCAAACTAACCCCATCCGAAAGCCCCGCAGGACACCAGGGGAGGGCGTAAGACACACATTCATGTGGAGACAGAGGCGGGGTGGGGAAGAGGAGTTCGGGAAAGCTTGGGGAGTCGTAATTTGACACTAATGCTGAAGAGGAATGAAGCGAAGGGCAAGGTTCGTTTATCTGTGTTAAATCAGTAACTTGCTGATGCTTATGCAAAGTCATGTGCAAATCAGAATTCTGTTTCTAAGGCAACAGCTCTGGAGCCGTCGGAAAGAGGCCTACACTTGTGTTTGGAGGAACCATCTTCCTGGAGCACCTTTCCCCCTTTTGCAAACCCTGAAAGGGCTTCGACCTTCTAGGCCAGTTGCGCTCGTCTCCCGGTCGCCCCCTAGCTTGGGAAATGGGAACAGGCAAGAAGCCGCGGGCGGTGTGGAAGCCCGGGAGGGTTAAATGGATTTCTCCGGAGTCCCGGAGTCAGGCCTGCCACCCTACCTCGTGAGGCAGCACAGGGCGGGGGGCCACCTCTCCGACGGCCAGGGGCTCCTTCAGCTCTGCGCAAAGCGCGGCGCGGTAGTGCCGGCCCGGGCCCCGCCTGGCTCCCCTGTGAAAGGAAATAAGGCCGATTTACCCGGGCCAGTTCCCGGGACACCCGGGACTGCCACGTGCGCCGCGGGAAGAGTCGGGGCGGTACCTGCAGAGCCAAGCCCGAGGGAAGCAGCGCCAGCAAATCAGCGGAGCCATGGCCGAGAAGGGCGCCTGGCGAGAGGGCGCAGCC